CCTAGAGCACGCGCAGGCGACGCTCCGTCTCTCCACGCTTTATTGGCGCGGCCTCGCCCCCTCCGGCCCAGCGCGGGAAAAGGCCACGTGCGTGCGGCCGGGCCGCCTTTTCCCGCCAGCTCTACAGCTCCAAGTGCATCCCGCTGTACGCTTTATCCACTGTCCACTCGCCCGGGGCTCCCGGGGCTCCAGCCCCCGCGTATCTCTCCATCTCCTGCTGGAACTGCAGCTGGCGCCGCCGGTTGGGGTCCACGTTGATCCAGTTGTTGGCAATCCACTTGGTGCCCTGTGTGACCAGGCAGCCCCCGTGCAGGGCGAAGTCGTCCAGCTCTCCTACCCAGCCTGTGGAGCAAAGCCATGTTAGGAGGGAGTGAGGAGTGCTGCTCTCCCACCCACGGCATTGGCTTGGATTTTGGCTCAGGTACGTCTTACAGGAGCTGGCTCCTCCTGGCACCCTCCATCTTAGTGCTACCCCACCCTAGCACCTATGAGGAGTGCACCAGGGCAGGCTCCCCAGGTGCAAAATGCTTGTTGCTGTCTTGTCTCCACCCAGCACAAGGGGCTCTCACATTCTGCATCCCAGCCACTGTTTTTCTCAACTCTTTCCAAAAGGGAGTGGCATAGAAGAGATGGGTGCTGCTGCTAGGCGGCCTGCAGAAGTCAGGCTCATGGCCACATTACAGACTGCATTCCAGCAGTTCTAAATTATTTTCTCTTTACGGAGGCTGTACCAGACTTGCATCAGCAGCCGCCTTCCATTTCGGAACAATTTGCTCGTAAAAACACAACAGGGCACTTCTTGCAGGACAGAGATGGTCTTGATGTTACCATCCAGCAGCCCAAACACTGGTCTTGTGACCTCTGTGGATTTTCTAGACGTGGAAACATGGGCTGCTCCCAGGGGACCTCCTGCCATCAATGTTCAAAATCTAGCAACGAAATTCTCCGGAGTCACTCTCCTGCAGCCTGGGAGGTTCGTGACCATCCCCCAGCCGGGCTGCCAGGGAAAACCACGTTGTGCTTTGGGAGAAAAACAGCCCTGAGGACACATCACCAGGCTGCAGCTGAGCTATAAAGCAGTAACTGGCCCCAAGCACAGGAGAGCCTTGCACAGGGCAGACCATGTCTCCCCGTGCTGCCAGGCTGATGGCTGTGCCTTTGTCTACCTCCCCTGTGGGCAACACCGCATCAGTGAAACATTCTGAGTTGCAGACCAAGTGCCAGCAGGAGTTTGAGCGCGCACAGTGGGACAGCAGGCAGCTGGCGATGGCTACTGCAGCCAAGGTCTTTGTTTGCTAGCTAGTCCTGTCCCCCAAAGGCATCAGGAGCCACTGACCTGCTGCCTGTAAACAAAGGCCTTTCAGAGTCAGGAAGCTCCTGCCCAGCTGGTGACAAGTAGACTCTATAGTTCCCGCTAGCAGGCAGCTACCACCCTTTGGCTCCCTTCTGAGCTCCCCGCCACTGCAAGAAGATGATGGCCGTCACCTCCTGCAGTCCTACCCCTCCCATGAGCCAAGTCTTGAAATCAGCCCATACCTTCTCCGTCTGACAGGTAGTTGTACCAGAAGACAGCAGTGCCTTGCTGAGGTTTCACTCGCAAATTGCCCTTGTCGCAGTTTTTCCGTGTATCTCGCAGGTCCACGTCGTTCTGGATCAGAGACTGGCAAGAAACCACAGAGAAGGTGATGCAAACAGGGCTGGAATGAAGCGCTCGCACAGCGCTGCCAGCGCTCATCCTGCCCTCTGCCTGACCGCCCCGCAGGGACAGTGCAGGGCTTTCACAACCCACCCGCAGCGGCCAGTTTCAGGCCCCTGGAGGTCCAGAACCTGTCCCTGAGCAGCCGCCCAGTGTTTAATGCGTTGCCTGACAGGAGCACAACACATCTGCCAAGACTTAGTCTGAGGAAACCTGCTCAGACAGAAGCGAGCAGGACCCGTGTGATGGCAGCAAGGCCACCAGACCACTCCTTGCACCTCCGAGCAGGCAGAGCTGTGGCTGTCAAAGCCCTGTGCCTCCTCCTCTGGCCTCAGAGGGAAAAGATGGTAAGTGCAGCTTCCCCATGCTCTAGCTATGAGGGTTAAATATGTTCCAACCTCACACACCAGACCCCTTCTGCAGCCACAGCAAAGAAAGACTCTCAAAGAGTGTCTCAAAATGCCCAGGGTTAATGTGTAGGTGAGATTCATTTACCATCTCTTCATACGTCCTGTTGTCAGCTATAGGGAAGACGGTTTCACCTCCCCCTGTCACGTTGTTCAGGTAGAACAGCACCGTCACATACCTGCAAGGCACAGTGGCTGTCAGGGGACACAACTGGAACAGGAAGCGGTGCACAGGGGCTGTCCATACCTTGCCCCTCCACTCCACATACACTGGTTCCTCCAAGACATCGTGAGATAAGGGATTTCTTAGAATCCCAGACTGGTTTGGGTTGGAAGGGACCTGAAAGCTCGTACAGGCCCAACCCCCTGCCCCGGGCAGGGACACCTTCCACTGGAGCAGGTTGCTCCAAGCCCCTGTGTCCAACCTGGCCTTGAACACTGCCAGGGATGGGGCAGCCACAGCTTCTCTGGGCACCCTGTGCCAGCGCCTCAGCACCCTCACAGGGAAGAGCTTCTGCCTCAGAGCTCAGCTCAGTCTCCCCTCTGGCAGGTTAAAGCCATTCCCCTTGGCCTGCCCCTACAGGCCCTTGTCCAAAGCCCCCCTCCAGCTTTCTTGTAGCCCCTTTAAGCACTGGGACTGCTCTAAGGTCTCCCCTTAAGGAGCCTTCTCCAGGCTGAACAAGCCCACCTCTCAGCCTGTCTAGCTCTCTGATGATTTGCATCATCAGCTTTTCTCCAAGAACAAGACAAGGACAACAAAGAAAATCCCCACCCACAGCAGTGAGGGTGTGTTTCTGGTCTCTGATGGGGATGGCCCAGCAGCTCTGCAGAACCACTCTGCCCTCCTCGCGTGGACCCACAGGATTTGCCCACCAACCTCTTTAAACCCCTTCACGCTAGTGATCTCCAGAGCTGGTTTTTGAGGCCACCACCCGAGCACCACCTACACGAGGTGAGGCCAGACCTCTCTCCCCACCTCTCCTCGAACACATTCCAGATTGTTCCAAGGCAGACCTTACCGGCAGGAGGTCTCAAAGGCAGCGCTTTCATTGGCGACCAGCTTCGTGTGGCTGCAGGCAGTCTCGGGGAAGACGGGGCCACTGTCCATGTGGGCATGGTAGTGCCCTCCTTGGTCGTAGCGCACAACCTGGAGGGGCTCGCTGTGCTCCACGATCTCGGGGGGCAGGCGAGTCAGGCGCATCACCCTGGGGAGGAGGAGAGCAGAGCAGGTGAGGGGAAAGCACCAGCACCCCGGTCAGCCCCTACTCCCAAGCAGCAAATGAATCTAGAGAAAGAGAACCCCCTTCCCAACAGACCGGAGAGACGGATGGGCTGCAGCAAGCACGCCAAGAGGTAAACTAGGTCCTTAGAGATCTGTTGGACCATCAGCATCAGCTCAGCAAGTTATCATCAAGGTTACTTCAAAACCAAACAAAATCGAAGGGTGCATCTCCAGCAGGACTGTTCTCAGGAAGACTTTGCTTGCTCAGCAAGATCCCTTCTGTGTGTGTCCCTGGAGCCTCCATGTGCCATCTCATCACTTCTCTGGACTCCTGCTCACCACCTACAGACCTTGGGGACAGTTAGCAAAGCACAAGGCCCCTGCTGAGAGTGAAGGAGAGACTAGCTCTAGGAACATTCTTGTCACCTAACTCACCTTTCCCTGTTGCCTTTTCAGCAGCCTCCCTCCCAGGGCAGAGGGGCACTGGAAGTGACCAAGGAGACTGGAGCCCTGCTGCTCTGGGATTTTTCCGCTGCTACATCTGAGATCATCCCCAAGGCAAGCAGGTACGTCTCGAGACCTGCCAAAGAACACTCAGAGCTCTGAGAATCTGGACCGGTGAAGCCCTCAGGGCAGGTGCAAAGGGAATGTGGCACCCAGGCAGGATGGCAAAGCCCCTCTGAGCACCACACGGTCCCGACGGAGGACTAGCAGCCTCCTTCAGTGCTGTGTCTTCACATCCTCATATAACAGCAGCCAACTGAAGAGCATAAAGGCAGTGCGCTGATGCCTGTGTGTGCTGGCTAGCTGGCATGCAGAAGGTGGCAGCCACAGTCTGCTCTAATCAAGGCAATATGTGACCCCATTCTCCTGCTGGAATGTGCTGAAGAAAAGGAGCGGCCAACAGCCGTTTTCAAGCCTTGGGACAGATTTTACCCACCCATGGTCTGGGCGAGGACCAGCACCACAAGAACAAGAGAGTCTCCAGCCAATTATCTGTAACTCACCACAGCTAAATGACTTGGCCTGTGTGCTGGGTTTCAGCACTTCCCCGTACCAAATCTGAGATGAAGGGAAGGGTGAGAGGTTCTCCTCTCTGATGTGAGCTGCCCTGTGATACGCGTGCTCAGAGGATTAAACTAACTTGGCTTCCTTGAGGTGAAGTTGTGCTGTTTAAAAAGTCAGCTCTGAAACAGCTAAGCCAGATTTCAGTGAAATGCATGAGTAACTAAAGCAAATGACAGCAACTGCTGGCACCCAAACAGCATTGGAAACGGGCAGTTTCTCCCAGTAAGCTCATTTACTAATTAGAATGAATTACTTCATATAATGCCAAGTCTTCCTGGTTTTATAGGGCTGTTCCCAAAAGTGAATGGAGATGCTGAAAGGGTTGATTTTTCTTTTCCCTTTTCCATGGGTCAATACAAAACCTTCTTCTAACGAAAACCTCCTCTCCCCATTTTGGGGCTGTGTTCATTGCTCTTTATACTCCAAAGACTTTTCACACAATTAGGAAGTGTGAGTATTAGCAAGTCTGCTAATATTCAGTGCCTTTCCCAGCACATGTGGTCCTTGTGCCTACACAAACCAACCATGTCTCGGCTGCCTGGTCCTTACCTTTGCCGTATGGATCTCATCACCTGGTGAGCCCCCTCGCCCTGGTACAGCCACGTGTGCTGGCTGTTGCGCACCAAGTCACTCATCTTCACTTTCTGGCTTCCCATGTACTTGTGGAAATCACGGATATTCAATTGTTTGAACTCCTCCAAGCTCAGCACACCTACGGGAAGAGAGGGAAAGCTGGTGATTCTCCTGCAGGCAACAGTTCCTGGTGTCCTGTACTCAGAGAAGCCACCAGCTGAGGGCACTGCAGAAATTGCCTTCCTCGAACCAAGCCCATTCGCTCTGGGGATCAGGTCCCCGAGACCACAGCACCCAACACGCTGCACTGGGCTGCCCAGCAGCCAGCACACTTCATGGGCTGCAAGCAGAGCTCGCCCAGGCAGCAAACCCAGTGCTGCTGTAGTGCCAGCTCTGCTCCCTTGGACAAACAGCACCCAGCCACCACGGTCAGCCTGGGACAGCTCCTTGGGTGCCGTGACCAAATTATTCCGTGTTATTAGTTCTAGTGTCTCCCTGTCCCCAATTCCCCTTACTCCACGCTGTCTTGATGACGCAGTGCCACATCCAGGTTGTGACCTGGTCTCTCGGTGTCACGTACCCATCTAACAACAGAGGGAAGCGTCACTCTGGAAGTAAGGTCCTGCCAAGAGCACTTTAACAGGACCTTTCATTTGTTAATGTCCGAAATGGTGGAAAAGCCACCGAGGACTCAGTCATACGCTCCTACCCCTGCCAAGAATGCCACTGGTGCCCTCCGGATATTTAGGCATTCACATGGGTATTGCTTCAACTCCAAAGCAGCTCCTCCTGGGCAGCTCTCAATGCCAGGTCACTGGAAGACAGTGTGCAGAGCCTGTGTGTTCACTTAATTTGATTAGGAAATGGAGAGTTGCTTAATTGAGGCCGCTCTAATTAGAGCAGCAGAGGTTAGAATGCACGTCTGGACCAGCGGGAGCCCTGGGAGACCGGGGGCAGGAGGAGAAGTGGCCTCATGGAATACAAGAGTTTGCAGTGGCAAAGAAGGGGGTCAGCACCAAAGGCTGACCTACAAGACCACCTCCACTTATTCCACCCTACCCTGTCCATGATGCAGGATTCCCAGCCTGCTGCAGAAGTCTCCAAGAAAACAGGGTGGAAGTGGAAGGTGGCACCTTAACACCTCAGCCAAGGTAACAAGAGCTACATAGTCAAAGCCAAAGCAGCGTCTCAGACCACAGGAGCAGCAGCACACTCTGAAGGTCTTGTTATAACAGGGCATGAACCAAGGCAGGTCTGAGAGGTGAGAGGGAGCACAGAGCTGTGTTCTGGTCCTGCTTCTGCAAGATCCAAGCCCAGGAAGTAGAACTAGTTTGCTGTTAGACTGGTGATGAAGAGGTTTACACTGATTTTACTTTTCTGCCAAGGTCTCTAAAGCAGCCTTATTTTCCTTTGAAGAACACAGGTAGAGAAACAGGCCTGGGCAGGGACACGGCTCTTGCTCTGCCCCACATGGCTGTGCAAGGTGTCCACCGTGCTGAGGGTGAAGGGATTCCCGTGGAGCTACTCTTACCATTCCCATCAGGATCAGCCTTGACCGCAGTGTACATCTCCCGGATGTTTTCGGGGGTCATCCACCTGCCGTTCCCAAGCCGGGTGTGGGTCAACACCTGAAATTCAGAAATGGATCAACAGCAGGAACTGGTTTCTTGTACTACCAAACCCTACAAATGCCCTGCTTGAGGCCTGGCGGGCTCTGCTCTGCAGCCAGGTGTCAGCACGTCTCTGCAGAAAGAAGACTGCACTAAGAACCATCTGGCAGCCACACACAGCATGTGGCTGATGAGTGCTGTTAGTTCCAGTTTAGGTCATGGCAAATGACTGCTGGGACTTGGTTAACCAGTCCTGAAGTGGAGGGGGCACAGCTCTTTCTCTGGAAGGGAAAGTAAAACCCACAGCACCAGGAACGTTCTACCCAGCATATTAAAAACACACGTCTCCTGCCAAGGACCACCTCTGCCTCCCAATAGCAGCACAACTGCTGTACACCTCCCCGGAAACTCCCATGCTGGAGGCCAGCACTAATCTTGAGACACCGAATTAAGCAAGTACTGACTGGAAGTCAGTAAGTACATACTGGGGTCTGGCCCTACCCAAGCACAGGGTAATGAAGAGACCTATCTGAGAAGGTGCCCCAGCAAACCTCCCCAGCTCTGTCCCACACTTTACCTCTTTGAGCTGCAGCTGCCCATCCTGGTTGTGGTCCAGCAGATTGAAAATGTCCATCTGGCTGATTTCTATCATTTCCATGGCTTCCTCATAGTCATCTGTTGGTAGGATCTGGCTCTTCTGCAGCCCCTTCAGCTGGGCCAGATGGACGATGAGCTTGCACTCCTCCTCTGTCAGGAAGTCAGGGATTTCTGCAGCAGAAGCATGAGCAGCAACAGAGACTGAGGAACTGCTATAGTGGGACCCCAAACCAATGGCAGGGCACTCAGAAGAAGGGAAATAAATTGGGGAGAATTTAGGAACTGCCTAAGTTTGGGACACTCAAACACATCCAAGCACACACCACACACCTGAGCTGCTGGGGGTGGGTATTTTTACAGCAGCAGTTCCTAAATGTTTGGATGCAGAGGTCAAGCCCTTAAATGCTCTCACAGACACCAAAATGGACAAAGGAGTGAACAAACACCTGCATATCACCACATATTATCACTTCAAAGGTGACATGTGGATCACAGTCTGGGAACTGCTGCTCTGCAGGAAGGGAGGCGAGAAAAGCTTTGTGGTGGGCAGTGGTGACTGCAGGGTTTCAGGCTTCCCTGGCCTCACGTGGAGAGGCCACCGCTGTGAACCTGGCACAATGAAACCCGAACAGCATGAAGAAAACTTCCAAACTTATTCCCATTCATTCCCTTGCTCCCCCACTAAGAAGGGTCTTTTAAATGTACTATTAAAGGAGAAGACACTGCACATGGTGGATGCCACATTCCATACTGAGATGCTACCTTAGTGTCATCAGCTTTTCTTTGCAGCACGACACCAGCAGCAATCAGGCAATAGCAGGATCCCAGGCAGATTTAAATGCAGATACACAAATGACTATGAGGCGAAGAGATTTCTCACTGCACAGTGCACAGGGCACTTGCAAAGTGCTGGTGAGGTCCTGTTCCACAGCACAGTTACACTGTGGTCCAGCAGGTTGAGAAGATCCCTCTGGCTGATGTCTGTCAGTGCTATGTCAATTGTGTTTTGAAGAGGGAAAGAAAAACCACCAAAGCAGGACAGGTTTAAGTGCTCGTAGGCCCAAGGTCCTGCTCTCCAAATTGCAGCTCCCTAGAGCTCCTGCGGGTACATGCTATGGACATACTACATCTCAACTGCAGCAACCCTCAAAGGGTGGAAAACAATAGTTAGTTACTTCCATGACCTGAAATCAATCCTATCAGCTCAAACTGTCAGTGAGCAGTCGGCTTCTTGCTACGTACAGACCAGAACTAGCCCTGTGGAAAATGAGCTGTTCCTGGGAAAGCCCAGCAACACGATGCAGCCACCTGTATCCCTGACACCCTCGGAGGAAGCAATTTCCGCCACTGGCAGCGCATCCCAGAGGATGCTTCAGACCCAGAGCTTCCACTGACCGCTCTGAACCTCGTGGCACAGCACCAGGTCCAGAATGAACTGTGCTGGCAAGCGACACTCCCAGTATTTCCAGTTCCCCAAACTGGGCTATAATAATGACAGCTCCTGGAATCTTAATTACGTGCTGGAGGAAGGACAATCCCGCTCTCCAACGGCATTTCTGAATGAGGGAACAACTCTGTTAAGCGGAAGGCGTGCTCTGTCATGCAGGCTGTGGGATGAGGGGGGGTCCAGGCAGGTGTTGCCAATCCCATCTGCAAACAACCTGACTCCACAGCTGCAAATTAGTTCCTCTCTACCCTCAGCTCTCCCAAACAGTTAACTTCTGGCTGTGAGACCATCCTATCTCCCTGCCTGCTCAACAATAGATCCAGCTAAACAAATGCCTCCTAATTGACTTTGAGCTTTTACAAAAAACAAAAGAGGAAAACATTGGGCATTATGAAATAATGACTAATCCTGGAGCTAGAGAAAGGAGAAGGGCTGGAGCACTGGTGTCAAACAGAGATTCAATCTTGGCGGAAAGAGCCCCAGGACACATGGGCCAAATCATTCATCCCTCCCCGACTGCCCTCATTTCCACACCTGCTGATCTAAGCCAAACCCCTGCTAAAATCCGAACAATCAGGGCCGCTGGCAAATGAAAACTGAAGCATTGTCTTCCCCATGAGGGCTCTGAAAGGGCCGCACTTAATGAGGATAGATTGACAGAGAGGTGGCTCCTAGACTATAAAAGGCATCTCACAGTCGGAGGCAGCTCAGTCCAGGGTGCGCTGCCTGTCCTCCTGCTCCAAGCATGGTCACAGCCCACCACAGGCACCCCTCGAGGTTGGGTGGCCCATGGCTGCTGGGTGTCCTGGTATACCTGCTGCTCTGGGGCTCTCCAGGGGCCTGGGCGAGCTACCTGAGGAGATCCTCCAGCTGCACACCCATCCCGCCCCGCATGGCCTTGTGCTACGACATCGGCTACTCCGAGATGAGGATTCCCAACCTGCTGGAGCACGAGACCATGTCAGAAGTGATCCAGCAGTCCTCCAGCTGGCTGCCCTTGCTGGCTAGGGAGTGCCACCCAGACGCTAGAATCTTCCTCTGCTCCCTCTTTGCACCAATCTGCTTGGACAGGTAAGATGTTTTTACAAGTTATTTCTGCTGTAGTAAGTAACAATCCCCAAGAGCACAACTGTGCAGTATGACCAGTGCTGCCCCTCTTAGCAAGGGGCAATTGGATTTCCTAGCATGGAGCATCCCTCTGAAAGTGAAACATGAACATTCCGCCTCTCAGGAGCAGGAATATTATGTTCCCTGCTGCGGGTTTTCCTGCTCTCCCACCCCAGGCACTGCAGCCATCTCCCCCAGCCACCTCTCTCACACACCACAGTAGCTGCTGGTACCCACCAGCACAGCCCTGGGCAGCAGCAAACCCCTCAGCCTGCTGCCAGAAGGAGCCCAGAGGTGCTGCAATCCCCATCCCCTCCCCAGGCTCATCTACCCCTGCCGCAGCCTGTGCGAAGCCGTCAAGAGAAGCTGCGCTCCCGTCATGGCTTGTTATGGGTACCCCTGGCCCGAAATCCTCAACTGCAACAAGTTCCCTGCTGATCACGAGCTGTGCATCGCAGCAGTGTCCACGGATGAAAACTCCTCCAGCAGGAGAAGTAAGTTTGGTTCTTTTCTCCTATGTTTTCCCGTAGGCAACAGTGAAAGCTCAGAGGATCAGCCTGTGCCTTGTTTCTATTCCCAGTATTTCTGGGTTTAAGCTCTGTTTCAAGAAGTTATAAATTCCAGTTTTGTTCTCTGTGGGAGCGCCACTGTGTCTAGAAAATTAGTGTAGCATTGACTGCAGCTTGTTCCCCTCTCTGCTGTATTCATTAGCTCCCTGGGTGCCATCAGACCGCGCAGGGTTTGGGGCAAGGGGAAGGAATTGCTGTCAAAAGCCTAACGCCCAGGCACAGCGTGAGAGCTCATGGCATGCAGGCTCCAGGCGGTGAGATGTGCTTCCAGCAGAGCTCTGGAGCTGCACTCCTCATCTTTCAGTGTGTCCAGGGTTTAAAAACATGCAAAAAAGGAGAAATGTTTTGCAAGCCTTGTCTTTAAACATTAGGAAACACCACTAAGGGGCATGAGCCTCTGCAGACATGAGTTACACCAGAAAAAGGAATCTTTAAGACTGAAAGACTGAATTAAACACGCACATACTGGTGAATACTGGGGGAGATCCAAGAGCAGTTAAGGGAGGACAGATGCCTCATTTCAGCATCACTGGATGGAGTCAGGCCATACCAGTGGTTTTACTGTTTCACCCACACTTGGAGATCTTCACCAAGCATTTTCACTGCTGCTTTAACATGCAGCAACACACACAAGCCTAAACAAAGCACGACAAACAGCATCTGCCCCAGCCACAGAAAGGAGAACTTGACATTTCCCACCCTGGCAATCTGAGATGTCCCTGCAGGGACTGGGTAGCTCAGGAGGAAGCACCACTCTACAAGCCACCGCTTGCAGATCTCAAAACATCATTATGCCTTTTCCAGCGATGCTTGACAAGGGTGTTCTAACCAGATTTCTGTTGCAGCAGTACCCCGAGCCAGCTGCAAGGACTGTGAGCTTGAGGAAGCCAGCACTGCCAGGGAGATCCTGGAAAACCTCTGTGCCAACGATTTTGGTGAGTACCCCCCCGCCTTCCTTTCAGTTGCTGCCATTCTCTCCAGCAGCCAGGTAGCGGCCTGGATAATAAATGGCTGCAGCTTTTACAGCAGACCCCAAGGATTTTAGGTATTGAGCGTTCCCCAGGGAAATGGTGGAATCACCAATCCTAGAAGTATTAAAAGATGTGTAGATTTGGCACTGAGGGACATGGCTTAGTGGCGGACTTGGCAGTGCCGAGTTTACAGTTTGACTTGATGATCTTAAAGGTCTTTTCCAACCTGAATGATTCTGTGATTCTAAAAACGATGTTCAGCAATGGAAACTAACCTCAAATGAGAGCTTTTATAAGCTCACTGCAATTACAAAGGATGGATGTGTCACCACCACATTACAGGAACAGCAAGAAAGCCTTGCGCTGCTGTGTGATTAAGTAGTTAAGAGCTATATGGCAAGTAAATAGAACTAACAGCTCTTTTTCCAACCCCTGTAGCAGTGAAAATCCGAATCCTGAGGAAGAACGCCACCACCACCATCTCAGACTTCGACCTGGACCCCTCCAGAGTGGAGGTCCTGAAGCATGGCCCACTCCTCAGAACCGAAGTCCCCGGCAGGCTCCAGCAGTGGCTAGACATAGATGCGACCTGTGTCCACAACATCATGAGAGGCACACACACAGGGGTCTTCGTTGTAAGCGGTGAAGTACAGAGTGACAAAGTGGTGGTGAACAAGGCCTACGCCTGGCAGAAGAAGAACAGGAACCTGCACCAGGCGGTGAGGAGGTGGAAGCATCACCGCTGCCCTGACCAGGCTGGCCGGAAGGTCTGAAAGGTCTCAATTCCAACAATAAGAAACTGCTCCCTTCCCTATGGCTAGAAAACTCCTTTCCCTGGAAGCTGGTGTTTTGGAGATGTACAGTCAATACTTTTAGGTGGTTCAAAGCAGTCATAGTCCACAGATAAGGCCTCACTACACATCTACAGATCCCTGTTTTACTGAACTTGAGTGTGCAGGTTTAACATGCTCCTCACACAAGGCTCTGCAGATTCAGGACTTGCAGTGAATGGCTTTGAGTAGGATCCAAGGTCACAACATAACCAAACTGAATTCTGCAGGCGAGAGACCTCTGGTGCCAGTTCCTCCTAGTGCTTGTCATCAAAGTCGATGATAGCCATTTCAGCTTCATTATTTGAACCTGAGCCACTGATGCTGCCCAAGTGCCTGCTTGGTTTCTGTCCAGAGAGATTACACAGAAGTCCCCCGACTGCTAGTGATGCTGCTTGTGTAATGGAAAAAAATACTTTACTCTTGAACAGACTGACATAAATTAAGGGGGAGAGGAACCCTGCAATGCCTGTCCCTTAGAGAATTAATACTAAACTCAGGCTGTTTCTTCAGCTTGCTGCGCTGAGAGTTGGTGAGCATCCTCACAGGTAAAAGAAACAGCTGTTCTCAAGCAGGAAAGACAGAGAGCAAAGATAGCTGAGGGCTTCTGCGTAACAGGGAAAACCATTTTTTAACATCAGAAATTCAGTTTGGATCCCCAGTAACTGGGATATCGGGATCTCACAAGAGCCTTGAGAAAGAGCGGAGCGGGAGTGAGACATCAGCCATTGAAACCTCTGCTTTCATGGGCAAATACTTGGGAATTGGAGGTGAGCCCCAACCCCTGCACAACAGCAGCTACTTGTAGTTGTGATAAGGGAAGGGGGGAGAAACATTACACAGCTGTCTGGCCTTCCTCCTGCATGCAAAGAAGACAGAAAAGGCAGAAAACCTCAGTTTCACCAAGTTCTCTGCAGCTCACTCTAACCCAGGTAAGTAGGGACTGTAATTCCCTGCACTCCAGACCACAGAGCAGAAAACAGCAAATCCCCAAACAAGAAAACAAGTCGGATTTCTACTAACAAAAATAAACTGGGAAGTTTTCTACACTGGATTAAACTTGGGACTGAAATAAAGGGGAAACCAGCTTTTCTGTGTGGTTCACACCGCCTGCAGTCTTGGTTGTGGGCAGCCACCCGGTTTGATGCAGACACATTGCCTCCCTGCGCTCGTAAAGCACACCACCAACCCGTGATGTGATGATCTCTTCAGCTTCAGTGTGGGCTGAGATGAGCCCTCAAACACTCACACTGAAATTCAGCTGCACCCTGACATTTGTGCAGCAATTACTTCTATTCCATGAGGATCTGAAGAAAAACACAGCCACATTTCCTAGGTTTCATTCCTCCCCGCTGCCTTGTCTTGCAAACTGCCACCCAATCCACAGAATCCAGGTGGTCCTGGCAATGGCAGCATCTTCTGAACTACGTTTGGCAAACACACCAGAACACATAAAAGCTCTGAAGGTTGAGAAGGCTTTGTCTGATATTTGTTTTCCATTAATAGGATTAATTGATCACTAATGTTTCCTAACTAAAAAGTGCACAGATGGTCTGACTTACAAGCTTTTGAAATGATGTCTCGTAGCCAGAGGCAGGGGGAAAAATAGGGCAGGGACTTTTCCACAGCT